ACACTGCAATGTGAGGTTTGAAGAAAATTTTTACGTTTGTGTCTAAGTGATTGATTTAAGTAGCTGAAGCTAAATCCTACAGTTTGAGCGTGAACATCCAATATTGGTGTTCTTTTATTGACAGTAAATGTGATATGTCATGTGTGTGCTCTGTATCGTAAAGGAGGCTGAACAGAGTTCAGTTGAGTTACCCAAACAGAGCTATCCAGAGTTGTTTGGGATGCTCCAGGTCATCCCTCCTGACTCCAGCTGCTGCTCCAGAAGGTCACAGGTCCCTGTGGATCCAGTGTCACATTGCCAGTGCAGCCGGAGGGCCTGGGTTCCCCAGGTTTCTGAAGTGGCACCCAGCTGGCACTGCCCAGTGGGATGGGCAGTAACCAAATCAAACCACATGGAAAATCTGTCCAAGCCACAGCAACATGCCTGATGACCTGCTGTGCCAGGAGTGGTCTCTCGATTTTAAGCAAAAGAGTTGTGGATATTAAGCAGTGGGAACTACGGGCTGGGAAGCCCTTGCTGACACTGCCAGGTCAGGTGTTCTTCTGTCTCCACAGCTCTCCTGGTGTTTTGTGTTCCAGGGGATGGAGATTGTAACTGGGGAGGCCGGTCATGGGAATTACTTCAGGATGCACTTCAGCAGATATAATATGGTGGACAGCATCACCTGCTTTTCCAAGGAACCCTTCCCTATCTCCAACTACATCTGCTTGTATGGACAGCACGAACACCTCCTCAATGACCTGTATTACCGCTGGAGGGCCGGGCAGCTCACAGACCTCTACAGGTGAGAGGAGCTTGTCGTTGTGCACAAAATCTACCTTCTGGCAGAGTTGAAGATTTATGTTATTGTGCTTTGTCTTTTGGCTGTTTTCCCTTGGAACAAAAGGTTAAAAAACAGATCTAAAAATATTTTCCATTATTTAGCAAAATTGTCAGTAACAATGTAAGTCCCAAAGACCTTCCTGGAAAGAGCTGTGTGTCTGAGATTTTCTTAGAGGAAGAGCAGTGATTTACTTGACTTTCGTCTGAATGAGCATTTTCAGTGTCTTTATTCACTTTTGTTTAGAATATTCAGTAGGTTAATCATTAAGCTGAACCTGAACAATCCTTTATTACTGAAGACTGATGTTCAACAGTCGCTTTTAAAAGTATTTATGTTGCTTTGAATCAACTTCTTAAGCCAGAGGTTTGTAGGGAGATTTTATACAATTCATGGTGATAGTCACACTCAACAACTTGCCTATTTTTATCAGTTGAGAGAGACTGAAGGGCCTGGTTAGTTCTAGTCATGTGCCATCTCCTCTGAGAGAATGTTTCATTGCTTTTGATTTTCATTTGAAGAAATAACCTCACGAATGGTGCTTTGGAACATAAACAGTCACAGATGGAATAGTGAAGTACTGCCTTACATCAGCTGGGTAGAGACAGAAAACCAGGCTCAGGAACAAATGATCAGTTTTTATTGTGATACAAAGCTGGTAGTGGTGCCTGAAACATTTATGGGTTTGATTTTGTTCTATTTACAAGTGATTAGAAGAAAGGCACAAATGGTATCAAAATTTTCAGATTAAATGTTGTTATCTAGATAACAGTTTGTAAAAGTTTGCTGTGAAGAGTGTACTGTGGTCCACAAGATGCTTGTGAATATTGCTGCCACAGGGCTTGATTACAATTTATAGCATATATTTGGGTTGTTTTGCAAGAGAGGAACAGGGTACAGCAGACCTGAAGTTCCAATGAACAGCACACTGTTAGTGAGTGTTAAAGAGGAATGAAGGAGGGTGACACAAGTGCATGAGAGATGGGATAAGCAGTTGATTTCCTCACCTTGTCATGGCTCATGCTGATTGTACATTTGGAGCACTAGAAGAACTCCTTAGTCTGTGCAAGAACTCCTTAGTCTGAACTCCTACCATCAGTCCTTTCAAGGTCATTACAGTGTGCACATATTGTGAGCTCACCTTTTCTGTGAACCATACTGAGGTGTGGTCAGGGTCATTTGTTAGATGCACCAGCAAGTTTCACACCAGTAGTAACATCTGGAAGAATAAATCATCCTGCTCTGGGATTTCAGCCTGCAGCACAGGTAGCAGTATTTTCCTGACCTTGACCAAAGGATCACTGGTGTGCTGCACAGAGGGATACCACATATCAGGGGCTCATAACATCCCTTCAGCTCTCCTTAATTAGTGATGATGAACTAATTTTGGTCTTGTCTTTTACAGCTATTGGACAGTGATGTTGTTTAGGACCTTTTGCCTCATTATTTTATCTCACTTCTCATTAGCCTGTGGCAGAATTCCTGAATTACAGTTGCTAGATTTTTCTTATCTGGTAGTTTTATTGCCTCCAGTTGTTTTTTGGTTTTAGTCTTCTTTCCACCTTATCTTTAGATAGATTTGTTCCTTCTGTTCTTGCTCTTTGGTCATATGAATGAAATCCCATATGTTGCTCACTCTGCAGCAGTGATCATATGCTGCTCTTTAATCCTTACTCATGTCGTTCTTGTGGCACTTTAACACACACACAGACACTCCCATTCATCCCAGCTGTTCCTGTTACACTGCCCATCCTGTGAGGAGGGAGCATTCTCCAGCAGGTGTAACAGGTAAACTGTCTGGCATCCCCAGGGAGCAGTCCTGGCACACAGCAAGGTGGCACAGAAATTTGCTACTTTCAGAAGGACATGGAGAAACAGAAGAAGGCTGGCAGTATAATGTACTCATAATATCACATCTATAACACATCTACCTCCCCACAGTATAGTGTCACATTAAATGTGCATACATGTGAGTGTAGTGTGCAATAGACACTGTTAAAACCAAGCCATGAGAAGACTGTTAGAAAACCATTACACTGAAAAATGGTTTAGCACCCCTTGTGAGTTGTCTTGAGACTTTTATGTAGAGAAAAAGTGGTGCCTAGTTGGCTTTTGGTGCAGAATAGGAAAATGCATTCACTGGTTTCTATGTGTGTGATAAAAGAACAGCTGTTTCTGGCCTTGTTCATGTGGTCTGTAAGGATCCCACATGAACACAAACCAGATGTTAGGATTGAGTTCCTGTCTTTGGATTTCAAAACCTTGCTTCTAAACTAGTACCTATTACACTTGATTCCACATCTACAGCAAGATGTGAAGTGCCCTTAGTGAAAAGAAAATAGAGACTGTGAAAATGTGGTGTGCCAGTTCAGCTTGTAAACTTGATGGTTTGAAACATCTGTTCCCCTCCTCTCTTCTGTATGCCTCTCTTTTCAGAAGAGCCTTCCTACGAGGCAAGAAAATGCAGTGCTTTAATCTTTTGGTCAGCATTTAGATTTCCCAGCATGGTATCTCGTTCCAGGAATGGACACAGTGGAACAGCTGTCACTTGGGAGCTAATTTATTTCTGTGTAACATGCAAATTATATTTTAAATAATTAGAGACTGCACCTAGCAGTGAATTTCCTCACTGATTTGCATTTGGTGTAAGAGCTGAAAGTTAACCCCATGGTACTGGATTTCCTGGCCAGAATGTGCCAATGCCATTCTCAAATTAGCTTTAACAACAGGCCTCTGAGATCCAGCAAACTTGACAAAGTCACCCTTCCTGGTTGTGTACCTGGAACCATGGCTAATGGGAATGATGAGAGAAACAACATTTCCTTTTGTCTGGAGAAAAGTTCCATTGATTTGGGTATGAGTTCAGCAGGATTTAAAAGCTGCAGACCTTGACCCACAACCAAAGGAAGGATTGGTCACTGCTCTGCCTCAGTACCTGGGCTCTTGGAGGAGGTGAAGCAGTTGGCACACATTGCCCTCCTTTCTAGTTGCCTTGTGCCTTGCAGTGGGTGCTCTACTTGCACTTGGGCCTGCAGCCACTGAATTTCTTAGTAGAGGGGCATGACAGCGCACTTCTTCTGTGCCAGGGCAGGAAAAAAATGGAGGAGCCAAAGACTCCTCAACTGTGAATTGAATGGCATTACTCACTAGATTTGGAATCCATTTCAGGAAGGAGTTTTCTGCAATTTTTATTCATTTCCCATCAGCCTGCATCTCAAAAAGTCAGCTAGAATTTGAGTCCCCAAGAGCAAGGCTCTTTCTTGCAGGGAGTCTTCTTCTGAAGAAAAAAGAAAGCAAATTCTGGTGGTGCACCCTGAAGAGATACCATGCTGTACACCATGCTCCTGGTCCCCCTCCACTAGCTGAAAAGCCTTCAGTTTATTTCCATTATTTTTGCCCTAGCAGCAGACAAAAGAGAGGAGCAGAGAGAGGTCTGAAGCCTTTTTCCTCTTCTTTTCAAATTTATAGATTTACTGGTCATCAGTCCTCACACTACTTCAGAGAGGAGGAATTCAACCAGCATTCCTTTTGTGTCCCGAGCTGAAGGCAGCTGCAAGGCAGTTGCCAAGTTATGGAACATGTCCACAGAGTGGTGGAATCTCCCTCTGCTGCATCTTAAGTACAAAACACATAATTACCAGAGTCTCCTGATTCTTAGCAACCAAATGGATGCTCACTGGCATCATGCATTTAATATGAGATAGAAGTGCTTCATGTAAGGTTCATTTGGCATTAATGAAAATCAAATCTAACATAAATGCATAAAAATCTGACCAACTAGTTTCTAAAATACTTAAGGAGCTTATTTTGCAAATGTGAGTATGGCTTATACTTGGGATTTTGTAATTGTGTATTAATGAACTCATCAGCCATGACCTGCAGAAGATGCTGGTTGTCTCAGTCATGTGGCCCCAACAGTGGCAGTGACACGAGAGCAGCACAAGGAAAGGGCACAGGGTCAGGCCTGGGGAGCAGTGCACAAAGGCAGGGCATGTTTTAATGAGGGATGAGCAGAGAAACCTCACAGACATGGTCATCCAGGCAGAGCTCAAAACCACTTGGTTATTATTTTGGTTCAACAACTTTGTTTCCAGCATTTTAAGGACTTGTCAAACTTGCTTGCTCTGCACGGGGGTCTTGGTATTCTGGTTTGAAAGCAAAACCAGTAAGAGACTCCAAGTCAGAAATACAATTTATTGGAAAAAGGGAAAAGAGACAAAATACATGCAATGATACAAAAAAGGAAGACCACCGACAAAGTCAGAATACAACTTGACACTCCTTTGGCCAGAGTGTTGGTAGCAGTTCAAATTGGAGTGGCTGCAGTCCTCTTGGAGTGGCAGATGTGGTTTCTGTTTGTGCAGTGGTCCTGTGGAAATGGTGTAGTCGGTCCAGTGGAAAACCCCAGCTGTGTCCTCTTGGAAACCTATGGGAAGGCTGCTTCTCTGTCTAGAAATCTCAGGCTATATCTAGGTGGGAATGCTTATCTCCTCCCCCCTGGGTGGAGCATCTCACAATGGGCTGATGTCATTTGAGTCACAGGTGTGTCTTTGATCACAGAACTGGCTCCTGGAGAGTGTTATCTCTGAGTCATGTGGCAAGACGTTGATGGGCCCATTAACAGGAGATGAGGAAAACTGCCCAGAGGGCAACTGCTACACAGATGGTACTAGAAAACATCTTGCCTTTCAATCTTGGACACTTGGGTACCATGAGGGCGGAGAAGCCCCCAGCAGACATGACCAGGACTCTTCAGCAAGAAGGAGATGGGGGAGTGGGTTTTACAGCAGTACTTTTGCGTAGTACAAAAAAGCACGGGGGGTTTAGGTGAATTGTAGTCACAAGGGAATGTTTTTTCCCCAGTGCCAGAATGCAGGTAGGATTCAGTTTTCACTGAGGAAGGGAACAGGTGATCCATGCATGGATCTGTGGAGATTGGCAGGCAGTTCTCATCAGGCCTGTGTGTTGATGTGCAGGAGGTGGGCACCCTGCAGAAAATCACATAAAGTGGCAGAGCTTCAGCTGCACGAGGTACTGCACAGGCCATGGAACATGAGGCTGCCAAACATGCTGCAGGAATATGTGAAGGGAGTCAGGCTCCCTTTCCCTGAGAAGCTTTGGAAAATCCACCCAGATACAGTAAACATGGATAACAGCACCAGATGTTTCCTTGGCTGCTCTCTGCAAGCCCTGTCTTTTATTTTCACATTGCATTTTCATATTGGGTGTACAAGCTAAATGCCCAAAAGTACTTTGAGCTGCATTCACTTATTTCGAAGTAACCATTTGGGTTTTTCCACTGAAGTTCAACTCCCACATCCTGGTGCTGTTAACATTAGGATGAAGGTGATCTGTTAAGCAGAAACACCGCACTGGACTGTTTGTTGACTCAATGCTAATAAAGCTCGCAATACAACAAATGCATTAAGGAAAAGAATAACATTTAATGTTTTCAGCATTATTGTTGAAAGGTAGAGAGGATTTAATTACTTACAGGCTGGATAATCAGTGATTATTTAAACATGAAATGCATGCTACATGGAAATGCTGGTTTTAACCCAAACCTTCTGAAATGAAGAGTGGTTGTTCGTTAAGAGGAACATTAGAATGCCCTGCTGCTGTCTGGAATCTGCTGGATCCCACACCATTAGCACACTGGGATTACATTTGAGCAACTCCACCTTAGGCTTTTGTTCATTGGACAGACGGTGAGATGGTTTTCTGCAGGGTTAAAAAAGACCAGAAAGAACTGTAACAGGTAGTGAGTATGACTGAGAGGGACTAGTGCTCCTCCATATGTTCTGCAGCCTAATTAGAGGGAAATGCGTTTGCTTTTCCTGAAGAGAGAGAAAGGGTAAGGAAAGAAGAACACGTTGAAGGGATATCAAAGCACTAACAGCTTTTTTGCTCCCAGAATTAAGAGCTAATCCTGCAGTGCACTGGTACAGCTGCACTTAGAGAGCAAATCGATACAAACGTCTGGAGATTTCCAGATATTAAGTCATTTTAAAGGAGCAGCTAACTTGCCAGTGAAGAGCCATGTTACTAAGAAACCCCACATTCAAATTAGTAAGTTAAAGCTTGTCAGCTGAACCCTGCCACATTAATTTGCAGGCAAACCTTGCTGATTCATATTAGTAATTATGCAAACCATTATGAATTATTGAATCCATAAACAATTGCAGAAAAGCAATCATACTCCTGCACACAGCCTCTTTGATGGTTTTGTGCCTCGGGTTTAATTTCCTTTAAATCATTTTCCATAATACATTATGTGTGAAAAAATACTATGTGAAAAAAATGTAGTAAGCCTGATTTCAGGGTCAGCCACAAAGTGCTCCTAGAAAGAGCACACACAGTAGTGCTTCTGTGTCAGCTTTAAAGAGCACAGAGGTTAGAAAGTTCAGTGAGAGTCAGTACACCACAACTGTTGTGATCTGCTAAGGTGTCTAAACTTTACCAAATACCAGTGCTGAAATAACAGAGTCTCTCCTGAGGACACTTAGGAGAACAGGAAAGGGCTGTATTATCTCAGTGCCAGGATCTGCTTTCTGAAGGTGCCACTGAGTACAGTGCTGTAACATTTCCAGGATATTAAAACTCCAGCAGAGCTGATTTATCAGTCATGATGGATCACTGGCATATTTGAAGGGAGCATGCTGGTGAGTAGTGCCGTGTCGCCCCCTGAGTCAGCAGGTCCCTGCAACAGCCCCAGGGAGGCTGGGTCTGGACCAGAGGGAGTGGTGTCACCCTAAAAGAGATCTGCAGTCAGTGGCCATTTCTCCAGAATAAGAATTGCAACAGCAGTCGTCCTTTGCTCTGGTTTGCCATTGCAGCTATGTTTGAAAGGGGATTGTAAACCATGAATTTTAAATCAACCATCTTCCAAAGACAAGACATTGCAGGTTCTGTAAGAAGAGGTAAAAAAGCACAGGCTTCCTCTCCAGGATTTGCTTCTCAAAAGGGATAAAAGAAATGTCAGTTTGTGAATTTGTGAGCACTATTTTTACTTTGTGAACCTGCTTGGTGGATTCACTCACAGATCTGTTGTCCATAAGGCTGTTGGTTTCACTAATTACTGGGTGAGAGCAGTAGCAGAGTCCTATATCACTGAATTTAACACTGAGATATTTGAACACCTGGACAAGCAGGTGTTTGGGGAGCAGAACTGCAGAACAAGGATATAAAGACCTTCTTGCTACAAACAGGCTTTTGGTTCACATTTGCTGTTGAGCAGTTGTAGGTTAATATTAAGAAATTGCAGGTCAGGGAATATGTTATGTCCTTTGTGCTGAAGAACAATGCTCTCGGGTGGTGCTCTAGGGGATTTTGCACAAATTGGTCTTGCTTTTCACCTATGTAAACAAGCTGTCTTATGAAATTATTGGTCATATGAATGCAAGAAATGCTCAGTGGAGCATTTATTTATATTGTCTTTAAATTAATACACTGTGATTCCTGGTCCAGTTATCCAAGGTGTATCAGGAAACATTTTGTATCTTTTGCTGGTATTACTGTATCTTTGTAATTAGGAGTCTTAAGGACATGCATATATTGTTCTCAAAACAACATATTTTGAATTTTCCTGACAAGATGGGATGCTCCATCTTGTGTGCTTGTGTTGGAGAAAAGACTTGTGTTCCTCTGCAAGCTGTGGTTGGGAAGTATTGTCAGGATGGCCTGAAAATTGAAATTGCATTGCATCCCATCCCTCCACAATACTTTACTCTTCCCACTCCTGAGAAGTAGAAGTCCCTGCTCTGTGTCCCTTACTCTGGCGTAATTGTGTTCCACTTGAGCCCCTGTCAGCTGAACAGCTTCAATCTCCTCTGTGTTTATTCTCCTGAGGTAGTTCCTGGGATGTGCGAGCAGCAGCCTTTCTCTGCCTGACTGGGCTCTTAGCAGAAATGCCCAGCTTTGGCCGTCATGTGCCAAAGGCATCACTGAGAGACTCAGCTTCCAGAGCCATCCACATGTGCTGGAGAATGACTTTTTAGGTCCAGAAGTCTGAGGGTTAGAGAAGGGACTGAGTAGCTTCCAGATGTACAGCCTGGAGAATTTTGCATTTCAAGCATTATATTTCTACTTAGAAAAAAATTTCAACCTAGGAAGGTGAATGTCTATCTTAAAAATTCCCTGCATTGTACAAAGCTTGGGAAGCTACAGAGAGGAAAGCAGACTGTCCACTCCTTACAGGTTACCAGGAGATCAAGTTGATCAGTGACTCTGCTTGTCTTGTGTACTAAAAGCCAAAGTGCTACTCTGTGTGTGCTCACAGTGCTGGTGCTGAGGACACAGCCATCACCAGAGGGCCACTGGGCTTAATGGCACCGAGGGCAGGGCACTGATGACTCGTGGATGGCTGTGGGAAGAAACAAATGGGATTTCAAGAGATCTGTATTCAGGATTGCTTAGAGACATTTATTGAGAGCTGCAGATTCAACCCACATCATAGGCTGTCAGAATTTCTGAACTTCCCTTCAGTGTGTGTGTTGGTGGAAGAACAGGGGTAGGAGGGATGCAAGGAGTCTAATTTGGGTTTGTTGTTTCCATCCATGCAAGTTCTGAGTAGCAAGCATAAGAAGAGCCATGGACACATCATCCTCCAAACCTCCAGTCTGCAGAGGGATTTTTCAAAGGCACCATCACAAGATGCCACCTACCCTTTGAGAAGTGGAAAATCCCCTCCTCATCCCAGTTTCCTTGCAGCAAGAAGGAACCAGAGCACAGGCACAGCTCAGGGGTCAGGATTGATCCCTGGAACTAGACCCTGGGCCAGAGCATGGGACATTTGGCATTGACAAATTCCCCCTGCAGGTAGGGGATGTACCACAGAGCTGCAATTACTCATCTCTTTTTTTTTTATCTTTATAGCTTCCTTTTTTTTTTTTTTTTCTTTTTTTTTTGTCCTTGCACAAAACAAGGGTGTTATTCTGAAGGTTTTTCATTCAGTTTTTAGGATTTTCTGGCTTCACACCTTGCTGCCAGTGCTATACCCCTGTGCCACCAGACCTGACTCAGGTGGCAGGTCAGTGTCGGGTCCTTGCTGCCAATACGTAAAACCGTCTTCCACAGGGGCAGAGGCTTCTTCTCCAAATGTGGTGTGTTCCTGCAAATGAAATGGAGAGTAACTCTAGGCAGCTCTTGGATGGACAGCGATGTGTACACTCCATTTTTGCTTGCTAGCAGTGCCCAGCTTTGTCCATTTTATTTATGTCTCTTGCACTCTTGCAAGGGGAAGGATTCTGTGCCTTCTGTACAGGATACCACTCAGTATTTCCTTCCTCCTTGCTTCTTATCGAATGTAGGCTACACCTCACAAATGAGGCAGAACAGACTTGAAATGTTGTTTGTCAATGAAAGGTGAGACCAGCTCCTTAGCAACACAAAAGATGTTGTTCATTGTCTTCTGCAGGAGCCCATTCCATCCCACCCATCACAAACACCTTCCTGCAATCGCTGTCATTGCCATAAAGGCTTCCAGCAGGGATCCCTGCTAGGAAGTGACCAAGTTTGTACACCCCTTATGTTCCTGGCAGACACTGTCATCTTCTACATATTTAGCCTGATCACTCTGGCAGGTTATGAAAGGCTAAATGGTGCAAACGTATGTGGCAGATGCCGTTCTTGTGATAGTGGAGGAGCTGCTGAGCCCCTGTTGGGAGTGTGCCAGCTCCATCTCATACACTGAAGAGCTTTATACTTTGAAGCCTTCCATGGCTTGCCCTGAGGGACTGCTGCTGAAGTGGTAATAAAATTCAGAATGAGCCTCAGAAAGTCAACTTGTTGGTTTCAAATGGGGTTTTTCATTATTAAGCTTCCCTTTAGCAGCCATATGTAGAGCTGCTCTGTCAAAAACACTTTGTACCCCCTGAGAAAGGTGATTCAAACTGGAAAGATAAATAGATGGAAGCACAGCTGGCAAAGAAAGTGAATTGTTTGTGTGAACTGAATCTCCAAATGGCCCTTGGTGTTCTTCAGGTGAAGTGAAGGAAGTCTGGGAGTAAATGTTGGTTACTAGGACCTCCTTCTGGCAGTCTAACTAGAAAATATGGATGAGGCATTCTCTGCTCCCCAAAAACAGGCATTTTATTTGCATTAAAGATTCCAAACTGGATGGCACATTTCAGGTTTTGAGTTCCAAATCTGCGGATATGGACCAGAACAGTAAAGCTGTGGTTATAGATTGAGCTGGTGACAATAGCAGGAATATGTAGCGCCCCTGAAACATTTATAAAGAGCATTAAGTGCAACACCTCAGTGAGACAGGTGAGCCCCTTAACTGAGGTAAGGCAGTTGGGAAGGTTGCACCTCAGTTGAGAGAGAAAGTCATCTGCTCAGGGTTATAGTCTAAATTAAGATGCCATCTTGAAGACAAAACATTTGGCCAGCAGAACATGGCTTTTACCACAGCACATCAGTAAAAAGAGAGTCTTTAATTACCTTTATATATTCTTGTATAACACCTCCCTTTCTCTCTTTGCTATTTATTATCAACAGTGAATTAAAGGTTTGTGTTTGGTTTTTCTTCTGAAATTGAACAGGTTTTAAATATTAGGGGATATTGTGTTTTTCTCCACCTTTGGGGTGTGCAGTTACTGAAACAAGGATCCTTAAAGCTGAGCTCATCCTAACCTGTATATCCAAATGAGCAGGCAACCATCAGTCCCAGTAAATCCTGGGCTAGGCAGCACTTGCTATAGCAAGGGATGCGATGCTTGGAATGGTGTCCATAAATATTTATACTGTGAAAAGGTCTGTGGGAGAGAGAGAGCCCTGCTGTGCTGCAGACCAAGCAGATTCCAAGAGGCAGCCCCAGCCAGCCTGGCACTCAGAGGGGAATGAGGGTGCTGGGGCAGAGAGGGGCCAAGCACATGGACATCCAGCCAAGCTGTGCCAGATGCACAGAGCATTTTAATGGTGTGAGGGAGAGCTGAGGGGTCTTTCAGAGTAGGAGGGGAAATCTTGCCCTCGGACATGGAGGAAGTAAAATCTGCAAAGAGGACACTGCACATTAATTCTATGTGGACAGGTATTGCAGGATTATTAAATCCGTGTAGTGTGTTTAAATTGTCTTATGCGGGTGCTTACTTAAATGCCACACAGCTGAACCAGGCAAGAAGGTTCCTGTGCTCCAGAGGGCAGTGCCAGGGTCCTGCTGCCATTCCCAAGGCATGAATGTTGGTGGCAACTACACAAATGCCCCCCTCTTCCAACTTCCCGGGTCAGCCTGCTGACATCTGCTTGGTCATTACGAAGATGAGTGTGGGGCACCTCCTGACCACTGTGAACATCAACAAGAATTACACTCCGAGCATCTCACCCAAGCTGTGAAAATTATCTTTCATTACAGAGGGATGTAAATCACAGCTTTGTAATCTGGCTGCCCCCAGTTATATTTACAGCCATGAGTTTCTACGGGGAGCAGTGCCCTCTCCATCCTTTTCCTCCTTTTTCATGGAAGAATGCTGTTGTGAATGCTGTAACTGAAGGAAAAAGTTGCAAGAGCTTCCTCCTAGAAATAATTTCAATTTAGCTTCATCACGCTAGTACAAAGAACATATTGCAGCGCTGTGGTGGCCCTGTTTTTCTGGCTTTTATTAATCCAGAAATCTTAATGATGAACAACATTTGTGTCATTGTCTACACAAATTTAATTTGTTTATGCAGTAGTTCAGTTAATCCTGCAATCTGCTTTTCTCAAATGAGGACAGATAATGGAGACACCATTCTTTACAGGTCTTCAGGCTTTTAAATTCTGATAAAATCAGGATTCTTCACTGGGTCTTGCCACAGCTCTGAATTAAGCCACTTTAAATGTAATTACTAAAGCTGGCTGTACATCAGGAACATCCATTAAAAGAATTGATTGACCATGCTGTTACAAGGAGGCATTTTATGAACAAACGATCATGATGGGTCCAGAACTGTAATTTATAAAGGCAAAAAAGCAGGTAACGTACTTTATTAGTGGTTAATGAGAGGTTCACAAGATAACTAATTTTCTTCTTTTTTACCCAGCTACTTCAGGGAACCTTGGTCCTTAGCCATCTATCATGATCGGTTTATTGATCTGCAGAAGGAACTGCGCCAAACCCTGATGTCAGAACAGGTAAGAAAAATGACTGGCAAGTGCATTTTATTATTTAGGTAATTTATTGATGTTGGTCATTTTGATTTACTCTCCCATCTGTATCCTGAAGCTTTATGTTTCTGTTTACCTCTCTCTTCGAGGAAGCCAGAGCAGATTGTGTACCTCACAGCAGGGGTCACCATGTATAGCACAGTGTTCAGTTTTCTTGTTTGGGTATATTCTCAAATCTGCCAGTAGAACTCGAACTTGCTTTGTTGTCTGTGACTGCATTTTTGCATTCTAGCTGCAATTTAGTACAAGTACCCAGTGGAATCTGGAGCCTGGCTTGTCCATGTATCCCCCTTGGGTTTAGGAGTGTTCCCTAATAGGAATATGCTACAGGCCATCCTACACCTCTCTCAGCTGAGCCTGTGGGTAGGTTTTTCAACCTCTACCCACACAGAATGGCTTTTGTAGTCCAAAGGGTGAAAGCAGCTGGCTTTTTCAGTGATGAGTGGATTTCCTGAATAAGGGTGGAATTAAAATGTTTGCCAATGCTGTTTTACAGCTTAGGCCCTAGCACCATAATAGAGGCATAAAGCCTCAGCAGCCTGGAACTGCCTGCCCAAAAGCCAAACTCACTGTGCTCCATGGGGAGAACTAATAACAACAGCAGGTGTCCAGCAGCCCCCAGAATTGCCTTCCCCACCTCCTGAGGAACTTCTGGCTGAAACCAAAAAGAGTTTGTGGTCTGATTTTGGTGCTTCCAACCCAGTACCCAGGACCAGTTCACCCAGCTCACACTGCTTCCACTGATTCTGCCTTTGTTTAACCCCATGCAGTGCCAGATGGTGGCACTGGGTTTTAAACATGTGCTGATGGAGTTTTTAACTGTGTGGAAAATGAACGGAATTGAGTGTAAATGGAGGTAGGGTGGCAGGAGGAAATGAAGCCCACTTCCCCTGGTGATGGTCCACCGATCTCCAGGGCCCAGTACTGCTGCATCCCAATTGCAGCCATGTGCACTCAGGCCTGCCTCCTCCCCAGAGGGCTCAGAGCTATTTGCCTCCTGTTGTCCTGACCCAGAAAGGGCCTTGGTGCCGTTTAATCTGGGTTCTCTTGGAAGACCTCTATAAAAAGAGTACAAAATTAAGTTCTGTGCAGAATGAGGGACCTGATGTGTTTTTCTTGCCATCATTCAAATTTATTTGTCATGCTGTGTGAACAACTTGAGAGGGGAATTTGTGCCCTACAAATGCAGGACTCGCTTGCCATACCCTGTCTTTGTGACAGCAGTCCTGACACAGAGAGTCTCCCTGCATGGCCTGGAAGCAGCTCTGTGTGAGTCAGGATTCCCATGGACATAGGTGATGGTATCTTCATCTGAATGAAAATTTGGCATTTTGGACTTTTATTTTTTTTCATAGTGAGTTTAACTATATTTACTAAATGTCACAATTTATATTTTCATTTGGTGTTTCTTCTGGGCACATTCCCAGATCCAGAGTAGGTACCATGTACTCTTGGAGTAGCTCTTAAATGCCTCAGGACTGGTTGTGTTTCTGTATGAAGTAAGAGACCTACTGTATTTGCCTCCTGATGCTCAGGGTCCAGTTCATTTCAGCATGCAGAAAAATGACTAATGAACTGTAAAAATGAGGGAAAGAGATGTTTAAGAGCTGTGGGCATAAATGCACAGAAGTCAGATATTTCTGGTTAGTTTCCAGAGAAAGTGGAAATCAGTGTCCTGCAATAGGGGGTAATACTTACAGAAATATTTGCTAATTGAAGCACTAACTGCATAGAAAAGCCAGTTATGTTCTGGGATGGGCCGTGCATTTAGCCTGTGTAGAAATTGCCACCCAAGGCTGCCCTGGCAGCACGGGGCTCTGGCAGGGCTGCTGGCACGGGGCATGTTTACCCCTCGGGGATCACAGCCATGTGTTTGTGCTGGCGTGCACAGCTCCAGCGATGCAAACATGCAGATGGCAGAGCTGGGGGCTGCACCTCCATCAGCTGCTGGATGCTGCCGCACGCCGTGGGCACATGTGCCATGCCAGACCTACCGGAACAGCACTTGTTGTCCATCAGGAATAATGGCCTGGTGCTTTGGCTGCAGCTGGGCCATGCTGAAACTTGGTTAAAAGCCACAGTAAATATGGGGGTTGGGGGGAGAGGTGTGGAATTCCTGTGGCAAAACCCCTCTGACAAGCCATGTTGGACAGCCAGGGGTTCCACACGGGTTTGTTCCACACAACCCTTGCACCTGTGGCCGGTCATTTGTGAGGGAGAGGTGAACAAACAGTTGAGCACCACTCAACTGTGTGCTCAGTGCTACCAGTGTGAACCGCACTCCAAACCCCACTGCCGCCTGTGTTCTAGCCCCGATGTATTCTCAGGCTGTTTTCAGACCCTGCTGCCACGCCCCATGTCTCCAGAGTGTGCCCCGAGTCCCGTTGTTTGTCTGCTTGACAGCTCTGTCCTGCAGGTGCCCGGAGAGCCCACTGCTACCGAGCAGCACCCTGAGCAGAAACCCGGCCCGCCATCACTCCGGGAACCCGTCCTGCGCTACCTGCGCCACCACCGCGCCCACTTGCCCATGTTCGCCCCGACCGATGCCTACAGACTGCTGTCGGCTGCAGGTAAGAGAGAGATGGTGGGACAACGGGGTCTGGGACCGCAGCCCCCGCCGTGGTGTGGGGTCTCGGTGAGCAGGCCTGGCAGTGATGGGAATCTCAGTGCGCAGCCCCAGCAATGGGCAGGGGTGTCTCGGCGTGCATCCCCGCCAGTGACGGGGAGTCTGGATGTGAAGCCCCTTTGGGATGAAGGGAGATCTCAGTGCGCAGCCCCATCGGTGAAGGGGAGTCGCAGTTCGTAGCCCTGGCGGGGAGGCGGCGGCGCGTGCCCGCGGGGCCGCAGCTGTATGCTAATGCGCCGCCGCCCGCCCCGCCGCGCCCCGCCCCGCCGCATGCCTGTCCCACCCGGGCGGGCGGGGCGGCCCCTCGAACCCCCCCGGCCGCCTGGCCCGACCCGCCGTGGGGGTGTCCGGGGGAGCGGCGGCCGCAGGCGCCCCCCGCTCGCCGCCCTTTGTGCCGAGGGTCGCGCAGCTTTATGCTAATGACCCACACAAAGGCGCGCGCGAGGGGGGGGCCCCCGCTCGCTCGCGTGCCGCCCGCGTGCCCCGCGCCCCCCACAAAGGGCCCGGCGGGGGGCGGGGAGGGCGCTGCCCGCACGCGCCCCCGGCCTGGCGGCGGCTCCTCTCCCCCCGGTCCCGCCACCTGCGGGGCGGCCCCGCGACCCTCCGCGCGCAACCCCGCGCCGCCGCGGACAAAGGGCTGTGGGAGCGGGGCCGCAGCCCAGGGCTCTCCTCACTACGGCTGCACCTGCCGCATCCTCGGGGCCTTCGGGCGTGTTTGCTTAGACACCGACCGCGACGTGCGGGAGCGCGGGGAGCGAGGACCCTCTGTCCGTTCCCCGTCGCACCTCGTACCCGATGCGCAGCGTTTCGGGCTGAAACCGAGCGCCACCGTCGCCGTCCCTGCCTGTACCGGGAACTGGGCCTGACCCGTTCGGGTTAGAGTAACAGGTTCGGTCACCACGGGGCCGGGGCTGTGGCTCCGCTTGCCCTGACCCCGCAGCAGCACGGAGTTGTTCCGTTCGCAGGGTTGCTGGGCTCGGCCGGGCCCTTATGACCTGTTCGTTATTCCTCCCGCACGGACAGACCCGTCATTGGCCACCTATTGCCGCCGCTGGGCAGTACCCCCTGCGGGCATCCCCTCTGTGCCGCCGCTGCCACAAGCGCCACTTTCGCCTCTTCGTGCGCCGAACTCCCTTCTCCCCGCACCCCGGTGCGGCCGCCCCCGCAAACAGTCCACCCGCCGAGAGCGGACGGTGCTCCGTGCCGAGCTTCCCGGTGGCGCAGCCTTCGCTGGCGGGCGGCCCGAGAGCACCACCCGCTGCCGGCCCCGCTGCCAGCGCGGGGGGCGGCACACAAAGACCGCGCGTGCCGGCCGGGCGGGGGCGGGGCCGGGCCGGGGCCGGGCGTGTGCCGGTCCGGGCTCAGGTGCGGCCGCGCCGCCGCCGCCGCCTCTGATTGGCCCGTCCCGCCGCCGCCGGCCCGAACAATGGCCTCGGCCCGCTTAAAGGCGGCAGCGGCTGCGCCGCGGGCAGAGCTAGGAGCGTCCGTCGTAGCTGCCGCCGGCCCGGAGCCGGCGCGAAGATGCCCCGGGGCTTCCTGGTGAAGCGCAGCCGGCGGCCCACCCCCGTGTCCTACCGGGTGCGCTGCTGCCGCGAGGCCGTCGCCGGCCCGCCGCTCCCCTCCGGCGCCGCCCAGCCGCCCGCCTGCCCCGCCGCTCCGCCGCCCCTGCCGCGGGACTCACCGCCGCCGGTGCCATTCGGGACGCCCGATGCCGCCGTGCAGGCGCTGTATAGCCCCACGCGGCCCGTCAGCAGGGACAAATACCTGGAGCGCGGCTTCAGCCTGGGCTCGCCCGTCTCAGCCGAGTCCTTCCCCGCGCCGGCCGTTCCCGGCACCATGGACCCGATCCTCTTCGCCCCGGCTGACCTCAAGCTCTGGGCCGCTGCTGGCCACGCCGAGCCGCCCGGCGCCCACCCCGGCCCCGGTGGGGTCCCCGCCCCGGCCGCGCCGCCTGCCTCGGGCCGCCCGCTGCCCGCCAAGCGCCCGCCGGGTGCCTCCGAACCTGGGAGGCAGAAGGCCCAGTCGGGCAAGAAGACGAAGGCGATCCGCAAGCTGACCTTTGAGGACGAAGTGACCACCTCGCCCGTGCTGGGGCTGCGCATCAAGGAGGGCCCGGTGGAGGTGCCGGCCAAGGCACGAGGTGGCTGCGCCCGTCCGCTGGGCGAGTTCATCTGCCAGCTCTGTAAGGAGGAGTACGGGGACCCCTTCGCGCTGGCGCAGCACCGCTGCTCCCGCATCGTTCGGGTGGAGTACCGCTGCCCCGAGTGCGACAAGGTCTTTTCCTGCCCCGCCAACCTCGCCTCCCACCGCCGCTGGCACAAACCCCGTCCACCCGCCACCAAGAGCGGCCCCGAGGCGGGCCGGGCACCGGCCGCGGGCCCAGGCCCGGTCCCGGCGGAGGAGACAACGAAGGAGGCGAGCGGTGGCAGTGGCAGCGAGCGGGACACACCGAGCCCTGGCGGAGCCTCGGAGGCGGGCTCCGAGGAGGGGCTCTTCGAGTGTCCCCGCTGCGCCAAGCGGTTCCGCCGGCAAGCCTACCTGCGCAAGCACCTGTTGGGGCACGCTACACCGACATCCACGCCAGTCCCGGTGCCCGCACCAGCCCCGGAGCCCAGCGCCGAGGAGCTGCCTGCCGCCGAGTGCCGCCTCTGCCCCGTCTGCGGGGAGACATTCCCCAGCAAGAGCAGCCAGGAGCGGCACCTGCGCCTCCTGCACGCCGCCCAGGTCTTCCCCTGCAAGTACTGCCCGGCCACCTTCTATAGCTCTCCCGGTCTCACCCGGCACATCAACAAGTGCCATCCCTCAGAGAACCGGCAGGTCATCCTGCTCCAGGTGCCTCTGCGCCCTGCCTGCTGAGCCGCCCGTGCCTTCCCCGCCGCCCCGCGCTGCTCCCCCGGGGCCGCCACACGATTAGCTTTAATACAGCTTGTGACCTGCTGGAATCTGGCTTTACACTTACCTTCCCCGGGTCTCTCTCTTATTTTTAATTTTTTCTTACTTTAATTTTTTTAAAAAATTTTGTTCCTTTGCTCTGTTTTTATTGATGTGAACAGATCAAACTGCTTGAGAGAAACAAGCGTTTACTTTAGTGTAGCCACAAATGCCTTGACTCTGCTGTTGATGGTCTCCAGAAAATGCTGTAGAAACTGCCTTAACTGTGACATGCCAACTTTCTGTTTCTGTTCGTTTGCCCTTACTAAGGTAGCTCATGAGTTGTCTATCTGTATATGTTGGTTTGAGTAATTATGTTATTTATTCGTTATTTATTTATATTAATTATGAAGATTGATATTATTTGATTGCAGATATTCTAATGTGCTTTTTTGTCTCCCCACCTGCCATTTCACTGTGCGTTTTAGAAGATCTTTTTTTCTTAAGGGATCTGCTAAAAAGGTTTTAACTTTTATACCTAGAATAACACATGATCTTAACCATTTTATCCTGTGCAACCAACAGCTCTTAATTTTAGATGCAATCTCTTTTTCTACACACATTATTTTCTTAACTGTTAGCTATTTATAGAGTGCTTCAATAGAACTGTTTCAACTGTATAATTATTTACTATTCAAAATAAAATATTTTCAAATTCAAGCATGCCCCCATCCCTCCTGCTTCTCCCTGCTGGGCTGGCCCTGGGGGCTTGGGGTGGGGTGGGGGGTGGGCTGGCACCCGGCTCCACACTGCAGCTGGTAGGGTGCCTCCATAGGCACCAACCTGCTCTGCACCGTTTGATGAGATTAATTAAAAAGGAATTAAAGGGAGAAGAGCAGGATACAGCATGGCTGCTCTGGGGAAAGGCTGGCCATGGGCTAGAGCCCCAGCCTTGCCCCTGCTCTAGCCACCATTGGGCACAGCCTGCCCTGTGCTCTGCTGCTTGGGAAAGCTGCCAGGTACCTTCCCTGGAAGGTGTTGTAGGGATAACTCAAGGAGAAGCAGCACCTGTAAGTGGAGAACTTGTAGAAATCCCTGCCTATGAGGGCTGTGCTGTTTGCTGCGTGGCTGCTGCGGCATCCTGCTTTGTCCATGGGTTGTGGAGCTGGTGCAAGGAAGGCCAGGCATTTCTCTGCTTTCTTGGCAGGGCCAGAGCCAGCTCCTGCCTGGTCCTTTGTGCCCTGCAGTGGGGTTTCTCTAGCAGCCTTCAATAACTGTATATATATATATAGATATATACATAGCTATGTAGATTGATCTGTCTCCAGGGCTTGTGTTTGTATGTGGGAATCTTGATGGGTTTGATCAGAATTGTTACAAAATCTGTAAGTGGGGAAAGGTGCATGCTGGGTTTGTGAAACCCCTCTCACAGACAGGTGTTGTATGCACCTATACAATCTCCCCCTTTGCCAGCAGGACCAGGTACAGAGCCAACTTCACAGCATGCAAATCTGCTTGGCAGCCCCAAGAGCAAATCCCTGCTCCCAAACTGGTGTACGAAAGGCCAGGGGGATGTGAGGGCTTGGTGTGGGTATGGGGGCTGCTCCATCTTGGGGTAGCAATGCCTTTGAGACTTTGGCTCCCTGGAAGAGGTTTCCAGCCTGTTCCTGCTATCTTCTCTCACCTAAAGACTCCTAACCCTGATTCACTGTGGGAAAGGCAGGTGGTTGAGCTTACTGGAGGAAAGTTTCCCAGGAACTGGCTCTATTTTGTGATAAAGGAAAGCTTGTAGAGAAAGAACATCTTTCTAGAGAAAGATTTGTTTGAGGTTTTTTGAGGCTTTTTGTTGTTTTTTGTTCAGTCAGGCTGAACAGTACCAGTATATGGATATGCTCCTGTTGTCTTGATTCCTAGGAAACTAACTTGGTAGTACCAGGGCTGACTTCAGGCCTGGGCAAAGCTGTGGTTTTAGCTGTAAATCAATACACTGGAAAAGAGCACAGCCAGAGATACAGGCAGCAAAGCCTGCCTGGCAAGAGGTGCAGTTTTGCCTTTCCTGGCTTCCCTGGCCTTGGAAAGCCCCAGATCCTGGGCTGTTGCGGATGGTGTTGCAGCTGTCTGTGGAGCGGGCTCTCTGCTCCCTGAGGGGACTCTGCCAACACACATGGCCGTCCTCTCAGGCCGCTGGACACCATTTCCAGATGATGCCTGGCACATCCTCCAGAGAAGCCTAATTGCTCCATCCACACGGTCACAGCAGTGTCCCTGCTGAAATCTGTGCTCAAAGCCTGTGGCACCAGCAGGCCACAAAACAATAGCTTCATACCGCTGTCCATTTCCTAATAGACAGATAAATCCATGTCTGTCCTGCTAAGAATCTGTTGAAATTTCTGAGGACCAGAATTCCCCAGGTTTTTTGAACTGTCTGGGTAACCATCGGCACTGACGTATTGCATCTCCTGCTGAGCAGAAACGGTGATTAGTGGAGACTCCTGTGTTGGGGAGGAGTAAGGAGAGGTGACAGCAGAGTACACTGGAAATGGCTCTGTTCACAAGCATCCTGTAAAAGGGACGTAATTTGCTTTTGACATCCCTTGGACTGCAGCAACCTTGGCAGAGCCGGCTGTGCCTTTGTTGTCTGCAGCCTTTCTCCCCTCATCTGCATCACTGGGTCCTTGTGAGGCTGAGCCCTGACTGCCCAAGGGGTTTCTGGAGAGGTTCTTTGTGAGGGTGAGCCCCAACTACCATTTTGCATCTCATGCCACCTGGCAGTGAAGGGCATTGCACCACTGTGACGGGTTACAAAGCCTCCCACTTACACCAATATCCTTCGGACAGTATTTTGGGGATGGATCTGTCTTTGCCCCTCACTAGTTCCTGCCTTGCACTGTCCCACTGCCCAGGCCCCAAGCACTGGGCCTCTGCTGGGCTCTGTCTCCTGCTCTGTGTCTGTGAAGTTCCAAGCCCATGTGTAGCTTGGTGGCTGTCCCAGGGGCCAAGCAGTGTGGCTGAACCCAGAGTGCTCTCAGTAGCAGACCCTGTGAATGAAAGTGTTGCCTGATAGGTGTTATGTTCTGGCCACCTGGCAGCACGGCCAGCCAGCACTGCGCAAACAAAGCCGCCTGCTGTCAGCTAACAAATCAATTGCTGATGGCTCTCAGTGCATCTAGCAGAAACAGGTTTGGGCACCATGGAAAACACTGATCCTGTCCCAAATATGATGCAGTGGAGGCAGCTGGTGCAGAGGTTGCTCATAATCTATGCATTCAGGCAGAGGGGTTACCCTGCTGTGCCAGAGCCTTCTTCCTCTCTGAGCATGCTGAGAGCGAAATATGTGGTCTGGGACCGAGTGTTGTGAGCACAGGGAAAGGAGCTGGGAGATTACATAGAGGAACCTGCAGGGTCCTGAGAAATACAGCATGGATGCCATCCCTGCCCCATGGGCTCAGAGCTGGTGGGGAGCTGGGGCAAGCTGCTCCTGCCCACAGGGGAAGACTCTCTGGAGGATGCTTGTCCCCAGGGAAGGTTTTTCCAAGTTTTGGTACCAACACCACAATCCCTTGTAGCCATCAGTGCAGTAAGGCATCTGTCAGCTGCCTTGCTGGATGTGCTCACTGGGAAACACAGCTAGGCACAGCTCATGGTTTTGGGGGGCCCTGCCCAGCACCTCCTGGTCTGTTTCTGGGGTGGGCAGCTAGGAGGTACCCATGGGATTAGGGCGTGCCTAGAAACAGGGCAAACATTGGCTTTTGCCTTGGATTTCACTCTTCCTCACACAACACGAGCCTGTTTAAAAAAAGGTATTGCTGTTGATGAGCTGAGAAATGGCTCATGGCGTCACAGGTATTTCTCTGGGGTGTGCCATGCCTGCAGGGTACTACAGGGTGCTGTGGTGTGCTGGTGCCAACACACCTCCTGCCCCATTGCTCCTGGGTCAGGAGTGCTAGATTGTGGTGAGTGTTTTAGGCTGGGTGTGACAGCAGTTTCCTGAAGCACCCAGGCAGCTCCCCTTGGTGAAGGATCTGGGTTTGCAGGTGCACTCTTGCAAATGGCATTAAGCGCCTCAGATCCTTCCATGCAGGTAAGAAGCCTCATCAGGGCTATAAATGGTTGAAATAAAATGTCCCTTACAGTCCACATAACAAAAGGTCTGTCTCTGGCAACATTTGATGCATTAATCATTGAGATGGGACATGCCAAGTGTGGCCTGTCCTGTGGTACCAGCTCCACACCAGACACTGCTAGGCTTGGTTCTTATCTGTGCCATTGGATCCAAGTACTGGGATGCCCCCAGTGCTGTTCTGACCATGCTGTTTTCTCCTCAACAGGCAGCCAGGGACTGAAACCAGGCAGAGCTGGGCACAGTGGCAGCAGTGGGAGCCCCACACCAACACAGGAACTCTCCTAGGAGCGCAACCTCCTCACACAGTAATTGGGACATTATTTGAAACAGCCAGGTCCAGTTAAACCACCTGTTCCTCTTAAAAAAGAACAACTGCTTTTAAGCTCTAATAAAGCCCCCTCGCAGCTCTGAAGGTGAGGGCATGCACAGCCCAGCCTGTTCCTGCCTAGGTCTTGTGCTGTACCACTCTGCTGAGGCTTTTCAGCCTTCCCTGGGCAATGGGGAAGGTGAGTGACAGGGAGAATTTAACCAGAGTAAAGGCTCTGCTTGTGCTGCCATGGGCACTGGGCTGGGGGAAGAGAAGGAGCATGGCTCCGCTGCAGGTTAAAACAGGTTCTGCTTTCTCAGGATATGGAACCACGATATTTTTATTGGCTCATTTTTACAGTTTTTTAGAGGGAAGTTACCTATAGTGCAACACCAGTTCAATGACAAAATGATATACAGTTGGGGGTGTCTGAGCTGGGAGGTTTTGGTTTAGTTACACACACACAGAAGAAAATCAGAATTTATTACGTACAATAAATTATATTTTGCATTTGCCCCTGGATCCTTGGAAGTGTCCAAGGCTGGGTTGGATGGTGCTTGGAGCAACCTGGGATAGTGGAAGGTGTCCCTGCCATGGTAAGGGTGGAATGAGATGAGCTATATTGTGCCCTTCCAACCCAAACTATTCTAGGATTCTGTGATAAAATATGTGTAAAAAATATATTCCTTTTATAGTGGTATATTCAATATAGATGATTTATGTAAGTAAATTTCAGAATATGTAGGTAATAACACATGTAATAATATATTACATGTATTATATCAAAACATATTGTATTATACAATAGATACTAATATATGTCTCTTATATATTGCCACTTAGACAATGCATATTAAGTATATTATCTACAGAACATAATATAATCTATGCATTATACATAATTACTGATATATTATCAGTGTTGATGTACTGAAACACTCTTGTCTGACAGGAGGTTTTGTCAGCTCTGCAGCCAGGATTTGTGTGCTGTGGAGGACAGTGTAGGTGCTCATATGTGTGCACATCTGGCACATCCAATATACATCCATGTCAATCATGGTCTGAAATACTGTTACTGTATCTATATACTACACTGAATACTCCATGATGCACATTATACATGTGCCAAATATTACATGTTCATTATATCATGTTACATAGAATTCATACATTGCTGATATGACTTATATTACTTTCTTACATACATTTTAAATAAAAGTATACTGCATGTATTTGCACACATTTAACATTACAGTTAGCAAAGTAATGTTACAGTTTTTGTCATGATAT